TGCTTATCAGTCACCTTCTGAAGTTCAAACAAGAACCTCTGGCATTCTTAACTTTATAAATTAATCAGAAAACACTAACATCTTTCCATGCTTCATTTTCCCGTCCATAGACTGAGTCTCTATAAAATGCTTCTATTAGTTTATTCAGTAAGGTTTCATGGTATTTTTGTTACCTAAAATCTTATTATTATAAATGAAACTTTTACATTGTATTTTCTAACTCATGATTTGAAATATAGGCTCTGTTTTCTTTTCTTTGTTCTACTGTTTTGGGTACACTTCCACAATGATGTGCTTCTTGTCTTTCTTATATTTAATAGACTGTTATCAGACAACATGACAGGAAACAAAATGGACTTCCCTATTCATACCCTTCTTCCCCATTCCATTTCTACCATCTGTACCATTTTGTGTATTTAGAGTCCACTGTATCACCCATTAATTTTTGTGAACAACCTGTTTCAGCCTTATGATCCTTTCATATATAAAAGTCTTGAGTTCCTGATTCAAAGTCTCACCTTGGACCCAGATGCCAGCCTGCCTCCTAGCTGGTCATACTTCAAGCTAGTGATAGCTGCTTTGTGTCCATTGAAGGTCACATTTCCTTCTCCGCTCAGAAGACTGAAGATTCGGATGGAGCCATCCTCATAACCAACAGCTAAATGCAGTCCATCTGGGGAGGGACACAAGCAAGTGACTTCTTGTTTTAGCCCCTGAAGGATGAGGATCTGAAAAATAAGCATCCAAACCAACACAGAGGAGTTAAGCAGGCAATCAAAGGGAGAGTGTGGAATAATCAGCACAGTACAATCAAGAGCATCAGTAAGTTCAAATCACTTTTATAAATAATATAAACTCTACCATCCATTTTTAAGTTCTCTTCTAGGAATTATCTGTACTAGCCAATGATACAGCAAACAAAGTAAAATTATTCTCTCCACAGCTCCATGTTGACACAATACAAGCAAAAATTCAGGCAATGCAATAAATCATTAAGTTTTTACCCTAGGGCAACACCACATAAGTTTCAGTAAAGGGTTATATACCCATTCTTGTTTTACCCGAGCCCCCACATTTAATGAGAACCCAATCTGCACAGCACTGGGGGTACCCTACTTGTTTTATCACCAATGAACTCTGGCGACAAGAAGTAACTTGGGAGTCACCCAGTAAATGGACAATATCAAAATCCTTATATTTGGTTTGGCAGAAATGGTAGATGTGGGGAATTTAAGTACACATAGTATCAAAGGGTTTTAAACCCTTGAGTCTTATCTGTATAAGAAAAAGATTCTGTCAATACAGCAGAATAATATTATTTTCAAATGCTTAATATTTTAAAACAGGCTGTGAGGGCAAGTAGAACTTGCAAATTAGAATTGGTAGAGAAACATGTTAGGAATTAATCATAACTATAAATCACAATCTATAAATATTACTATTATATTTAAGAAAGAATCTCATATTTGGTTGTGGGTTTCAGAATTTAGTGAACACAACAGAACTCAATGTTTAGCTATTTAGATCCAAAAGGATTTCTCAACTAAGGGCACAAATACAGGAAAATCCACGTAAAATAAGTAAATCATTCTGCACTTGACAATTCATCCTCAAATACACATAAATCAATATCAACCCAGCTGATTTTTGGCTCACCTTCTCTCCTTTCCTTAAGTCCCAAATGAAAACATGTTCACAGGCTGGTGCTGCCACATAGCGTCCTTTCTCACCACGGAGTGTCACAAAGACAATGTTACCTTTTTGGCTGCCAATCAGGCCAAAGACTGCACTAGCAACATAGCGCAGGTACTGTTTGGTGAGACCCATGTTATGATGTCCGATACCACAGGTAAGGCAATCTGTGTATATAAAAGAGAAAGCTCAGTGCTTTGGCTACCTTGGTTCTGATCGTTTAGCAAACCCCAACTATTTACCATGTGGTTAAAAGCATATAACTTCTGACTTCTTAATATTTATTTACACTGAATAAAGAACTGACATAAAATATCCACTGGGTTCTTCATTATTTATTTGCTGTTGACTAAACATGCAATCCCTCATTCCTCAAGTTTCAAATTGGTCACAATGGCATGCCCATTTCATGAGTATATGACATTATAGTCCCAATGTACTAAACAATTAGCTTCTACCCATTCCAGCACCATCAAAGTTTTTACACTGACATTGGTAGCCTGAAAATGAACATAAATTATAAACACTAGAATCATGGCACTGATCCCTAATCTCATGGCACTTACCTTCTAGGATAATGATTACAAACACAGGCACCCTAATCACCTGGAGACCTCATGAAAACATTGCTGGGAACTACTTCATCCGAGATATTTCACTTACAGCAAGTCCCCCATCACCACCACTGGCTGTGGTTCCTGGGCCACATAACTGCTGCTGCAGTACATGTAGGCCTGTCCGTCCGTCCTTCCTTCCTTTCTTTTTGTAGATTCATTTTTATTTGAAAGGCAGAGTTACAGAGAAAGGTGGAGACAGAGAAAGGTCTTACATCCACTGGTTCACTCCCCAAATGGCCTCGACAGCCGCAGCTGAGCCTATCTGAAGCCAGGAGCCAGGAATTTCCTTCAGGTCTCCCACAAGGATGAAAGGGCTGAAGGATCTGGGCCATCTTCCACTGCTTTCCCAGGCACGTTAGCAGGGAGCTGGATCAGAAGTGGAGCAGCCAGGACTCAACCCGCATCTATATGGGATGCTGGCGCTGCAGGCCTGGGCTTTAACCTGCTGCACCACAGCGCTGGCCCCTGTCCCTCATTTCTAAATCAGAGCAGCCCCTTCTCCTTGGCACAGAAAAATGGCAGAGCAACTCAACATTCTTTGCCATGGTTTCCTCACTACATGAATTGCACTGAATGTACTGGTTGTAGATAAAAGTGACAAAAGATAAAGGAGATAACAAGTGTCCTGACTGCTCTAGACAGAGAGTAGGGAAAAGTATTCCCCAAAACACCCATGTAACTTAAACAAAAAAATATAAAAGTTACAGCCTTTTGGGGGAGCTATTTCTTCCTGTTGTTTGTTATTGGTTGGCTTTAATTTTAAAGGGTCTCCTTTTTACTATAAACTACTGGTTTAGTCTACTTTAACAACAACAAAAAAATTCAATCTCAATTCATTGCTAATGTCTGCTGTTAATAATCACTTACCAACCTCATTTCTTTTCTCACAGAAACCACTATCAAGTCAGGTAAAAAAAAAAAAAAAACTATAAGAGATCACATTTACTCGTTATAATGTGATAGTGCTTTTACCCTAGACCATTTTATTAATTCCTCCCCAATGTCTGTTACTCTTCTAATCTCCTAACTGTAGTTGCTCCTCATATTAAGTCTTTGGCCCCCATCACCTTCTTCTACAGTATTTTCCTTGGAGGATTCATATGGCACACCAACATGAATACTAATTATACAGTCTCCAATACTTACCAGACACCCCTACTTGAATACCTTAAAGTGTGTCATGTTAACACGTCTACAACTTCTTGAACTCCTCGCACTTTTTCTAAGACACACAATCCTCCCAGCTATTCTGGCTCAAAACTTTCTAGTAACCTTTGGCTTATTAATAAAAAAATACTACTGCAGCTAGGATTTAGAAAACGCTTATAGTAGGGTAACTGACATATTACATGTATTAAGCAAACATACACGGTTGTTTAATTATACATAGTAATTAAATGAGTTAATACAGGCAAAGTACTGAGGAAAGCACTTAATACACGGTAAATATAAGTGTAAAAGATTTTCGATAACAACCCCACAAAGCAGGCTATCTTCCATCCATTGTGCAGACAAGGACCCTAGATGCAGACAAAGATGTCAAATAGGAGCCCAACGTCATTCAGACACTGAGCACCAAGATCAGTTTCCAATCCAGCAAGTCTAACTCCCAATTTTGCTTTTAAACACTATGCTAATGTTTCTCTCTGCTCCTCTCCTTTCTTAGTCAGCCCCCACCCCTCCATCGTCTCTGGGGTACAGGATCCTGTTCTCTCCGGCACTTCACCCCTGCGTGCCTGCACTGCTTTCCACCTAACACCCCCACCTCCATATTCTTCATTCTTTCCATTTAAAAACCATACTCCCTAAGAAACCCTTTCAAACAACTTGTCCCTGCCTCAAAGTCCTTGAAAGGGCTGCTAACTAGTTCGCCAGTTTCCACTAACTCATCCTATCTACCTCTGCAATCAACAACTCCCTTGTTCGGGTTGGGAGGTTTGCTTCCTTACGCAGCGATCTTGCCTTCGGCACGTTATTCTAGAATAATCCCCCACCTAGAATAACATGCATGCTCAAAGTCACCTATTTTAATGGGTGCCATCCCGAGGCCCCTTTCCTTCCGAGCCGGCCCACCTCTAGCAGCCGTTCCCACCGCCCCGACTTCCACACAACCTGGCGCTGGTCACCTCCGTTCCCCGTGCACGGACCTCGCCTCCTTCCGCAGAGTTCCCAGCCCGCTCTTCCTCCGAGACCCCACCGTCACCGCTTCCGAACCCACAGCAGCCCTCCCAAATACGATCGCAATACTACGCAGGCCTCCGTAAGGAGACAGACGTGCCACCCCGAGTCAAGAGACGGTGAAACAGGTCCCGCACAAGCAACACACTGCGGGGGCAGCCAGGTTGTCCCGGGCACGCGGAGCCCCCAGCGGCCTCTCCATCCCGCTGTGAGGACGCCCGCGCTCGCCGGGGCTCCTCCTTCCCCCACCTTAACCCAGCCACAATTACCTCTCCTGGGGTCTTGCTGACGCCACGAAGTTCCGGGCCAGCATCAGCCAAATCCGACCAGCGATCAGCAGCCCCGGGGAATCTCCAGGTCTCACCTCAGCCTCCACGAGGCTCCGGCCGACTGGGCCCGCCCACCGGACCCGCTCCTTCCGGGTCCGTCCCGGGAGTCTCTTCCGCCCGACGTTCCCTTTGCCTTCGAGGAGGAAATGACGGAGACAGCCGGGCTGTGATTGGCTGGCGCGGGCTGCGAGCGGAAGCCGGTGTTTCACGGCGCAGAGCTTTTGCAGCTGGTCATTCCAGCCTCCTGGGACTCTGACTCGCGTTCGGCGCCGCGCTCCTGCTGAGGGTTGTCCCGAGATGTCATTCGGCCGCCATCTGCGAGGAGCTTAACCCGGCCCACTTGCCGCCCGGATGGGACCTCCGGAGTGCTGTGAGAGGCGGGACGCGGGCCAGGCGGGAAGGCGGGGCAGGGCGGGGCCGGCCCGGGGGTGCGGCGGGAGGCGCACGGGACTCGACCCGGGTTCGGGGTGCGGGCAGACCCGGTTAGTTCTGTGGTTTCTCTGAAAGCATGAGCCTGGCGCTGCTTCCCCGGCTGCCTAGGGGGTTCTTGCACGAGGAGCTGTCAGGGACGACTAGAAGACAGCGCGTAGGCAGACCAGGCACAAGGGACAGCGGTGCGGTGGCCGAGGAGGCGCGTGCCGCGGGGTGCAGGGGGAATCGGGCGGCCGGAGTCCTGCCGGCGTAGCCCCAAGGTCGAGTCCATGTTGCCGCCCCTGTGGATGGGGCGTTCCGCGCGCCGACAGCAGCTCGGATCGGGAATGGGTGGACGCTGAGCCCAGGATGCTGAGTCGTCCGAGTTCCCGCAGTCCCTGGAGTGACATTGGCCTGGCTTTGTGTTTCCGCTCTCCAGCCACTTGAGGGGAAGTGACCAGAGCTGACTCCTGGTCTGCTGACTGAGGCTTAGGTGCTCCGTCGCCGGGTGGGAATTCTCTCTCTCTCTCTCTCTCTCTCTCTCGTTCTGCCCGCTTTTGCTCTGGTACCGCGTAGAGAGAAGTGTTAGAAATGAGTTCTGATGGTGGCCGACTTGTAGCTGTAGAAAAGAAGCGGGCTTCTGCCGTAGCTTGTTGAACAAGACATTCACGGCCAGCCTAGAAACTGGACTTTTTAGGTCTGCATTATCTGATTTTTGTTCAGACGTTTCTTGAGTTTGTAATTGCAGTAGTAGAATGCATATGTTGAAACTATGCATGGCTGTTGCGCATGGGTGTTGAGAAATTAGATTACCGCGGATAGGATGAATGAGGAGAGAAGAAACTGTGGCAACAGATTATTTCCAGAAGTCTGGGTGAGTGTGTGTGTTTGGTTGGTATCTCCTAGTGGTGCTTCGCATCCCATTGTTATAGGAGGAAAATATCTATGTGCTTCCGTGGAAGACTGCATAGTTCCAGCTAAATGACACCTCTTGGATTATCTGATTGTAAGGAGAGCTATTTTACCACAGTGTAAACTGGAGAGAGCAGACGTCTATGCTGTTATTTTTGACTATAGATGTGCAGATTCTCTGTCTCTCAGTGCTTCGATGGAAGTCTTGCCACCTTTTACACACTTACTTCAATATTCCTGATCTATTAAGGTGTCTAGGTCTAGTTTTCCCTTTATCCACCATCTGTCTAGTTCCCTTTTGGGTTATATAAAATCTTGAACACAGGCTCATTTTTATATTTGAATGAGTCATGATTTGGCCTTTTAAAAAAAGTTCTCTTAACATTATTAAATGTTATATTATGGGAAGGGGCACCACAGATGGTAAAAAGAATTTTACTAAAAATTGATATCAGGGCAATTGGGATTGAATGTGAAGATAGTAAAATGTTAGAAAATTTCACATAAACTATTTCAGGGTATAATGTACTTTCTTAGTTAAATTTCAAATTGTAATGTGTGTAGTTACAACTGAAAAATAATAGTTTGTTTATGAAGATAGGTCTCATAATTCACTAGGAGGACATGTGCTTTGGGTGTTTTGAGATGGTAAGCTTGACCTGGGCCGTTAACTCGGCTTAGAATGCTTCCTATGCTGTATTTTTTTAAAGATTTATTTTATTTATTTGACAGGCAGAGTTACAGAGAGAGGTAGAGATAGAGAGAGAGGTCTTCCATCGGCTGGTTCACTCCCCAGATGGCCCCAATGGCCAGAGCTGTGCAGATCCGAAGCCAGGAGCCAAGAGCTTCTTCCAGGTCTCCTATGTGGGTGCAGAGGCCCAAGAACTCTATCTCAGGCCGTGGCAGAGAGCTGGATTGGAAGAGGAGCAGCCGGGACTCGAACTGGCGCTCATATGGGATGCCATGCTGACGCTTCAGGCCGGGGTGTTAACTCACAGCGCCACAGCGCCGGCCCCCCATACTGTATTTTTTATTGACATGTTTGACCACTTCAGTTAGTTTTCTCAATAAGCAACTTTTCTTTTTTCAATGTCATTTTTTTGTTGTTTGTATAAAATGATCATCTCAAGTAGGTTTGGAGTCAGGAAGTAGTATGCAAAAGTACCGTAATGTACCATGAACTTTCAAATATTGAAATACAAAAGTGAAACTGTAATTTCTTAAAAACTAGTGAAATAGAGCCAGTAGTTAATGGAGGTCACATCAATGGACCATCTCTCTTTGTACTTTTACTGAGGCCTGTCTAATCAGTGTAAGCATTTTGAAAGACAGGTAAACAGGTCAAAAGTTCTCATTTTGTCTTGTAAATGGTACCATTCTTTTTCATCCAGATAGAGACAATGAACCATCTGCTTCCTTTTGCCCAGTCTTGAATAATGCCATCTGATCTATACAGCCAACCCAGTTATTCTTATAAAACAGTATTTGGAGAACGTTAGTCAGAATTTTGGAAAAAGAAAATGCGGTGCAATGAAAACTTTACACCGTATTTGAATTATAAAGGATACTTAACGGATTCTTTCTGTATTTCAGTTCTGTTCTACTAAGGTCAGAAGATAGTATAGCTAAGGAAATAGATCTGATCATTCTGGAATCTTCTGTTTGTCCCATATAGACCTTTTGACCTTGGACCATTAATGTCTTATTTCAGGAGCTTTTTTCGTTAAGGCTTAGTATTTGCTTAAGAGCTTGTTCAAAGTGCAGAACTGATTAGTTGATTTCCAGTAGATAGTCTTGTTTCCCTTTAGTGCTATCCAAAAGTCTGGCTATGGCTATGGATTGCTGTTGCCTCTCCCTCTTCCCACCCTCCCTCGCTTGAGTTCTCTGCTCAGGAATCACTGGGATTCTTAATCTGAGTCTGGGAATTCTCAAATGTGTGTGCAAATCTGTGCTTCTCTGAGTTCATGTACACACATTTTGGGGGGTGAAAGGGTCTTTATCTTTCTTGCGTTTCTCAGTGTCCTATGAGCCTGTGAATGCTAAGAACCACTGTTCCTCTGGGATCAGGTTTTCTTGCCTACTGTAGGTTTGCTGCTTCATTTGCTTTGTTGCCAAGGATTGTGTGAGCCGGAGGCAGAGAGATTTAAAATCTCTTTTTGGGCAAGAAAATTGAAGTGCTAATTGCTTGTATTGGTCAATTTATGTTGTATACATATGTTGAAATGTTACACTGTAACACATAAAAATTCCTATACAAGTATTACATGTTAATAAAAAATAATTTTGAGTGTCTTTCTGGTGAGAAAAATTAATTTCTGTTTGGCGATGAATCAGCAAAATAGTCAACCTTTGCTAAATACGATGACACCTTTTATAAAATGCCATTAGCTTCTGCTCTACAATAAAAGCTGTGGTCATTATTGACTATTCATTTAACATCCAATATCTTTTTTAAAAAAATGTTTTCATTTATGAGGCCAGCATCGTGGTGCAGTGAGTTAAGCCACTTTTGCAATGCCAACATCCCATATTAGAGTGCTTATTCCAGTTCCAGCTGCTCTGCTTCCAATCCATCTTCCTGCTAATGCACCTGGGAAGACAGTGAAAAATGGCCTCAAATAGTTGAGACCTTGCCACCATGTGGGAGACCAGATGGAGTTCCTGGTTCCTTGCATCAGCCTGGCCCGGCACAGCCTGTTATGGCCATCTGGAGAGTGAAATGTAAGGTATCTCTCTTTCTTCTGTCTCTTCCTCTCTGTCTTTGTCACTCTTCCTTGGTGTTTATTTTTTAAATTTTTAAGAATATTTATTTATTTATTTGAAAGAGTTACACATAGAGAGAAGGAAAGGCAGAGAGAGAGAGAGGTCTTCCATCCACTGGTTCACTCCCTAATTGGCCACAATGGCTGGAGCTGCGCCAATCCGAAGCCAGGAGCCGGGAGCTTCCTCCGGGTCTCCCCCCTGGGTGCAGGGGCCCAAGGACTTGGGTCATCCTCCACTACTTTCCCAGTCCATAGCAGAGAACTGGATTGAAGTGGAGCGGCTGGGACTCCAACCAGCGCCCATATGGGATGCTGCCACAGCATCACCACCGCTCCAGCCCCACTCTGCCTTTTTAATAAATATATCTTTTAGAAAATGTTTATTTCATTGCATCGACTTGAAAGACAGAAGTACAGAAGGAAGAAGAGAAAGAGATCTGTACACTGATTTAAGCCAGGGGTCGGGGACTCCATATGGGTCTGACCAAGACCCAAGCACTTGAGCTATCATCTGCTGTCTCCCAAGGTGCACATTAGCAGAAAGCTGCCTCAGAAGTAGAGGCAGAACTCAGTGTCAAGTACTCTGATGTGGAATGCAGAAGGCCCAAGCACCAGCTTAACCCACTACAGCGCATCACCCACCCCAGTTCCCAACGTCTTTGGGAACCACTGACTTTAAGAACTGAGAAGAAAATCTAGCGAACTGGGCTGGCAAGTTAGGATTCAGATAACAGAGAACCACCAGGGTATACTGTCAAAGAAGAGAATTGAGTTTCAAGGCGGGAATGATCAATATTAAATGATTCTAAAAACTCTTGGATTTCACCGTTGAGAAGGTATTGTTGACCTTGAAGAACAGTTTTAGCATGGTAGAATGGAAGCAAAGTCCAGTAAGTTCAATAAGTCGAAGCAAAGGAAGCAGAGCTACAAAAAAGATGACTCTTAAAAAGTTCAGTGGTGAAAAAGAGTTTAATATTCTGAAGTAGGACAGGAAAAATCTGGGGAATAGGGATTGAGGGGAAGGAGAGATCGAAATATTGTATAAGGAGAATTTATATACCATCTTAAAGAAGAGCTAGTGGAATGGAGTAAAAATGCTCACATGAAGGCAATTGGGCAGGGCTAAAAGTATGGGATGTGTCTGGAAATCATTCAAAAATTGGAAAGAGTGAATGACAACAGACTCTGAACTGGAGGGAACTTAAGGGAATTTGAATTATGAATGCTGCAGGAAGCAGTGGGAATGTCGTGGGATTTACTATCAGCTCATCCTTAATTTGGACCTTAGAATACTGCTGAATAGTTATGTGACCTTCAGCTGGTTATTGAACTTTTCAGTCTTTATAACCCTCACTATGAAACAAGACTTCCAGTACCTGCTTGGTGGATCATTATACAGATTAGAGAGCATGTGAGTATAATGTCCTGTGGTTCACTGTACCTTTCATGGTGTTCTTCTTTTGGTTCCTTTAATGTCCTCGGCTCTTCTCCACTTCAGAACCCCCAGATTGACCCTTCACTCTCTCTGAAAGTCTTTTGCTGCTTTTTGGTTTTCTTGTTGTTATTTTTGTTTTAGCTGTCACTTTCATGGATATAGTAGGCAAAGATGCATTATTATCTCCCCATTTCTGTGGGTCAGGAATTTCAAAGTGACTTAATTACATGGTTCTAATTCAGGATCTCTCATGAGGTTGCAGTCAAGATATCAGCTAAGGCTGACATCATTGTAAGCCCATTTGGGACTGGAAGATCCACTTCCAAGGTGATTCATTCATATGCTTGGTAGTTTTTGATGGTTGCTGGCAAGAATCCTCAGTTTCTTCCAAGCAAGGCCTGGCCATGGGCCCCTTGAATGTTCACAAGTCATGGGAGCTCCATCCCTAGTTTGAGCAGTGCAAGGGAGACAAGGTGGAAGACATATTTTTTATGACTCATTGTTGAAAGCCACACACTTGTCATTTCTTCTATATCCTATTCTATATTCTATATTCCTATCCAGCCCAATTCATTGTAGAAGAAAACTACACAAAGACATGAATATCAAGAGGCAAGAACCATTGATGGACATCTTAGAGACTGTCTACCACAGATGCTGTGTGTAATAACATTATCAACCATGAATGATGAAAACAGTTGCTGAATGGTGTTGATGGAGGGCCCAGCTGTGATACAGAAAAGCATGCATTTATTTTGGCTTCAGGCAGGATAATTCTAGTGGCACAAGGAACAGAATCAGAAAACAGTGATGAGTTAAATTGAGGTCTTAGGGATTAACAGATTACTACGAGGAAACTCGTGACACTGAAATGAGAAGAGTGTATCTTAAATCAACAGTTTGTGTTTGGTACCCGTTAAAGTCTTCAACGTTAAGTGTTTTGGTGTTTGCAGCAAATTGAGATACAGTCTCAACAGTGATGCAGGAACATTTCACACTGATATTGAGAAAGTTGCATTTTTAATGTGCCTTCCTTTGAACCAGATGACCTATACAGTTTTGATAGAGTTAATCTTGCTTAATCCTCACACTAACCCCAGGAGTTACTAAACTCTATTCTAGAAATAAAGAAACTCAGGTTGAGAGTCAAGGGTGACATACCTTTTAGGTGGTAGTCCTGGATCCAAACTCAGACCTGATATCAGCACCCTTCCTTTGAGCTTCAGGCATTTTAACCCTGATTAATGAGTATAGTCTACTTTTGACCCCAGTTCAAGTCTGATTACTTTCAATACTGAATACTGTTCAGCTTAACAAAACTAACAATTGCCTCCAGTTTGTAAGGCCAACTAGATGCACTAAGCATTAGTTTCTAGATAATTAGATGCACTAACCATCGGTTTCTAGATAAAATTAGTTTCTTTGTTTCAAAACTATTTCAAACCTATATTTAGTTTCAAATAAGAATAATATAAATTTATCATGATATAATCTACAGGGCCTTTCTGAAGTTATTATTTAAATTACCACATATCCTATCCCTTGATGCTGATTTAGGAATTAATGTGTTATAATAGATCCTTGTTTCATTCCAATATCTTTCATCAAGAGACACCAAGGAATTACTTGTGAAAGGACTTAGACACTGACAACAAACATTAGGGTCATACCAAAAAACTTTTTTAAAGTTAGTTTATTTTTATTTATATCAAAGGCAGAGTGCCAGAGAGGAAAGAGAGAAATCAAAATCCTCTACTCACCAGTTCACTCCCTAAATGCCTGCAATAGCCAGGCTAAGCCAAGGCAAAGCCTGGAGCGAGGAATTCCATCTGCTCCCATGTGGGTGGCAGGGACCCAAGTATTTGAGCCATCATTTGCTGAGTCCTGGAATGCTCATTTACGGGAAGCTAGATCAGAAGTGGAGTTGGGTCTCCATCTCAGGTGCTCTGATATCCTAAGGCATCCTAAGTAGTGGCTTAATCTGCCGTGCCACAATGCCTGCCCTGAAAAATTTATTGAAAAAGCTTCTAGGAATGGAATTTGGCCTAAAAGTTAAGATGCCCTTGTCCTATATCTGTTCCTGTGCTTGATTCCTGGCTCCAACTTCTCATTCAGACTTCCTGCTAATGAAAACCCTTGGAGGCAGCAGTGGTGGCTCAAGTGATTGTGTTCCTGCCACCCATGCGGGAGGCTTGGATTTCGTTCCCAGCTCCCAACTTCAACTTCATCTGTCTGTATTATTTGAGTGGGAGAGGGAAAGAGCACATGTATTTGTTCCCTTCTGCTGGTTCCTTCCCCAAAGGCCCACAAAGACTAGGTCTTTACACATGGACCCTTAGGGGGTACTCGAACTATATCCAAAACATAGCAACATCCAAAAAAACACACGGAAAAAAAAAAAAAACAAACCTCCTTGATCGTCACTCCACCCCACAGCCTACTTCAAGTCTTCACCTACTCAATTGCTCAAGCAAGTACTGTAGGAGTTATCTTTGATTCTACTTCTCCACTCCCCCATATTCATTTAGCAAGACTACCTGCAAAATACATTCCAAGTCTAACATTTCTCACCACCATCTCACCTGGATTACTGCAGTTCATTTTCTACTGGTCTCTGCTTCCACTCTTTGCCCTCTCTTGATTTCATTGTAGCCAGATTAATCTTTTCAAATGTTATTTACATTTAGTTATTAACTTAGTGAATATTTTTTTAATAGCTTGCCCTCATAGTTAGAATAAGATCTGGGGCTGGAGCTGTGGCTCAGTAGGCTAATCCTCTGTCTGCAGTGCCGGCATCCCATGTGGGCGCCAGTTCTAGTCCCAGCTGCTCTTCTGATCCAGCTCTCTGCTATAGCCTGGGAAAGCAGTGGAAGATGGCCCAAGTGCTTGGGCCCCTGCACTTGCGTGGGATGCCCAGAGGCGGCTCCTGGCTCCTGGCTTCAGATTGGCTCAGCTCCAGCCGTTGTGGCCATCTGGGGAGTGAACCAGTGGATGGAAGACCTCTCTTTCTCTGCCTCTCCCTCTCACTGTCTGTAACTCTGCCTCTCAAATAAATAAATAAAATCTTCAAAAAAAAAAGAAAAAGAGAATAAGATCTGAAGTTGATGTGGCTTACATATTGTATCCTGTGGTCTTCCTTTCTCACCAACCTCATCACCAACCACTGATTGCCTAACCTATTCTACTCTAGCAAAAATGACCTCTTTGCTCTTCCTGGAGTGCATCAAGCTCCTTCCTGGCCTTTTGACCCTTGCATTTGATATGTCCTCTTCCTGAAATGTCTTGTTCTCTCACTTTATCACTCTGATCAGATGTCATCTTTTCTCTAATTTTTTTTTTTTTTTGCTCCAGTCATTCTATTATTAGATGCCTTCTTACTCCTTCATTGTTCTCTTCTCCATGAAAATATAAGCTCCCTACTCTGTCCTACTCAACAGTGTAGCCTCAATGTCTAGTACTTACCAGTGTATTCCCTAGTAGTTAACACATCCTAGATGCTAACAGAATTGTTAAATGAATGCGTCTAATGTTTTACTGAAATAAGAAATTTGACTTACTGGCAAATTGAGTATTCATTTCTATGATGAAATTTCCCATGACCTTTCTGTACTTGACACTACTAGTGTCTTTCTATCAGCTTCCTCTTCTAATTTCTCTGTTGCTGTATTACTAGCCAGCTACCACATCACTGTCTCATGCACTGTATCTTATCAGGTGTCAAATCCTGTTCATTCTTCTATTTTTTATTGCCTCTTAAGTCTGTACCACCTCTATCTCCTTTGCTACTTAGTAGAAATCTTTACCAGCTCTTATTACTTGGTTGTAGTGAACCTCCTTCTCATTTATCTTACTCAGTACATCCTCCACATTATCATTAGACTGAGCTCTTTAAGTTAAAATTTGTTTCTGTCTTTATATCTCTTACAACATCTAGCACTGCACTTTCTTTCCCAGTAGTAGACACTCGGTAACTATTAAATGAATGGTTCTATTTGAGGAAAGTAGAACTCACCAGCCATGTGACTATTTTAATGGCTATAATTTTTTGAAGGGAATTTATGCTTAAAAAATCCCCCTTTATTCCTATTATAGAAAAGCTGTAGCAAGTCTTTATTGTCCATTGTTTTTGATGAACTACTTAAGTGACTATAATCATATAATGTACTGTTTGAGCATTTCACAGTAGAGTTTTGTGTTTGTCTTCAGTAGAATTAGTAAAATCTGTGCTTTCTATTAACAAGATTCTTTTATTTTTAACCTCTTAAGCTGAAGTCTCCAGTGAATATTGAGTGGCTGAGGAATTTGAGAAAAAGCAAGACGAAGTTCCCATTCCATGGATCCCTTGGGTGCACCTTCCCAGTTTGTGGATGTGGATACTCTACTCAGCTGGGGTGACTTGTGTGAAGATGAATTAAATTCTTCTGATACTGCAACTCAAACTGTTCCAGAAGACACTATTCGTTCACCTTTTCTTTATAATAAGGATATCAATGGAAAAGTGGTTCTTTGGTAATTTTGATTATATCATTTTTAGATGATAACATTTTCTCATGATTTTTTTCTAAACTCTTTGTAAGACTTAGCATTGTTGAAATGTTGCTCTGCGAATATGTATGAAGGTTTATTGAAGTGTAACTGACATACAATAAACTGCACATATTTAAAGTGTACAGTGTGACTAGTCTTGAGGTACACATACATCCATGAAACCATACCACAATCAACATAGGGAATGTATCCATCATTTCCCGAAGTGTTTTCTTGTATTGTTTGATAATCTTTCCCTCCTGTTCATCCCTCCCTCCACATCCCAAGTGAGCACTGAACTCCCTGTCACTAGAGACTAGTTGGCATTTTTTAGAGTTTTGCATAAATGGAGCCATATTTACTTTTTTGTGTCTGGCTTCATCCATTCAGAATAATAATTTGTAAGTTCATATATGTTGTTACTTAAATCAATAGAAGTTCATTACTTTAAAAAAAAAAAAAAAAAAAGCCTTGGCTGGCGCTGCAGCTCACTAGGCTAATCCTCCACTTTGCAGCGCCGGCACACCGGGTTCTAGTCCCGGTCAGGGCGCCGGATTCTTTCCCGGTTGCCCCTCTTCCAGGCCAGCTCTCTGCTGAGGCCCGGGAGTGCAGTGGAGGATGGCACAAGTGCTTGGGCCCTGCACCTCATGGGAGACCAGGAGGAGCACCTGGCTCCTGCCTTCAGATCAGCGCGGTGCACCGGCCGCAGCACGCCGGCTGCGGCAGCCATTGGAGGGTGAACCAACAGCAAGGGAAGACCTTTCTCTCTCTGTCTCTCTCTCTCTGTCCACTCTGCCTGTTAAAAAAAAAAAAAAAAAAAAAAAAAAGCTTTAAGAAATCACACACTATATAAATTCCACAATGCAGTGGTTTTTTATATATTCATGGAGATGCACAATCACCAGTCAGTTTTAAAATATTTCATGAGCCCAAAGCCCTGTACCTAGTGCAGCCATTCCTCATTTCTTCCCTATTACTCAGCAATAAGCAACTACTAATCTACTTTCTGTCTTTCTAATTTTACTATTCTGAACATTTCAAATGAATGCAACAAAATATATGGTTTTTTGCAACCCAATACTTTCAGATTTCATCCATATTATACAGATTGGCCATCCCTAATGCAAAAATGTGAAATGCGAATTTCAGATTGAGGATACTCAACTGGTATGGTCTATGCAGCCATACTGAAATCTGAAAGCCTCCAAAGTCTGAAATATCTGTCTGGGCTTGAGCATTTCAGATAAGGAATATTCAAAGTGTAGTATGCATCAGTACTTAATTTATTTTTATTGCTGAATAATATTCAATTATACTGATATACCACATTTATCAGTTCATTAGTTGGTAGACATTTGGGTTATTTCTTCTTGGCTATTGTAAATAATGCTGCTGTATTTAAATTCTTCAAACCAACTTCTTTCAGCCATAAGTTTTGGTAATTATGAGAAATAGATAAGAAGCAAATGTGTGATAGGATGGTTTTGTGTGTTTCCGGGTTGTAGCAATTGTGTTAAAGATCTGTATAAGATACCAGATTAGCCTTTTGAGTCAGGAATTTCTTTTTTACCGTTATTGGTTTGTGAGCTCACAAAACCAATGTTGTAAAGGGGATGGCAATAGAATGCTTTGAAAGAATTGGAAATTAGGTTTCTTATCTCCTTCTTTTCTGTACACTTTCTCTTTATTACCTCCTTAGGAAAGGAGATGTGGCATTACTCAACTGTACAGCCATTGTGAATACCAGCAATGAAAGCCTCACAGATAAGAATCCTGTGTCAGAAAGTATCTTCATGCTTGCAGGGCCTGATTTGAAGGAGGACCTTCAGAAACTTAAAGGTAAATCAGTTTTCTTAGGCAAATGATTGCTTAAGGAATAGTTATTCTGATGTCCTTCACCTTGAAGAAGGCTGTTTTGCATTTGAGTGAGAAAATTGTGTAGATGGCCAGCTTTCTTTTGTTGAAGCTAAATTCAAAAAGCCCTTGAAAGCTCCCCCATGTGTTAAAAGCTGACCCCTGAAGCTTTACTAATCGTCAAACTTCTCAGTTCTATTCTTGAATTTTATACAATCATTGTTGCAGGGCTACAATCATTGTAGCATTTTCCTGGGTGTGTATTTTTTGCACTGATCAGTCCATCCTCCTTATTATCATGACTTGATGTTGGTGGAGGATTTCTTATATCTCCCCCCTGAGCACTAGACATAGTATTACACTTGTGAAATGAAAATTGACTTATGATTAAAGCCAAAATGCATTGGAAAAGTAAATATATTCTCAGCTAATTTGTACTGGCTGCTTTTTGTTTTTACCAGAACATTCTTCTGTGAATATTGCTTCAAACAGGGTTTAGGAGAGTCCTACTGATTCAGAATCTGGCCTGCCTTTGTTTTCATCAACATTTGTTTTTAGTTATCAACGTAGCAGCCCTTTGTTGTTATTTGAACCCAAATGTGAATTTAACATTGTGAAATTCAAACTTCTCATCTTATAAAACCTATGAAGTACAGCGATGGTTCTTAAAATTCAAACAGCAAATCCCACCTGTATAAAATCTTACTTTCCTTGACTTCTACCATTTAACAGTAGCAGCTGTTTTCTAATACAATAAAAATACCAGGATCTGAACAGAAATGCTTTTAGTGCTGGATCTGTGAAAAAAGAGAAGAATTACATCACCTGTTCAAGAATCCAAATTCTGTCTATGAGGACAGAGGAAAAAGTCCTTAATTAAACTACAAGATAGCAAGAAGATCATGTACAAATTAAAGAGGAGATTAAAGATAATACTAAGAGATTCTTTGGTAAAACTAATAGAGAAGTTGTCTGCAAAACTTCCTCATGGCCTCTCTTCTTTGTGTTTGTGTGTATGTTTTCATGTATACACTCCAGAACTAGAATTATGGATAATAATTTAGAAAGACAATTTACCACAAGTATACAGACAAAACCTTGGTATTTAACACCATGAGCTTGAAAGTTTCAAGCTCTCTGCCCTTTACTGTTTTGCTTAAGACTGATTATTTCATTTGTGTTTGAGTTTCCTTCTTTTTAAAATGGAAATGCCAATAATAGTTCCTATGTCAGTTCCTTTCACATAGCAAAAGCTTGATAAATATTTGGAACAGAAAAAATAGCACCGTAAAGACTAAATTAAATAATGGACATGAAGGTCTAGGCACATCCTAAGTGTTCAGCAGGGACAAGTATTATTGCTGGGGTTAGCTGTTAGGATTCAGCCAACTGGCTCCATGAGTCAGTACTAACCTCAGAAGAGGTTATTAGTAATGTCCTGAATGGCTGCGAACTGTCCTGTCCCTTCCTTACAGTTTTATTAACAACTTCATGAGTAATTACAAAGTGTGAGTTAGCAGATGTATAGGTGATACTAAAGAGGTAGAGCTTATGGGAAATACTGGATGATGGACTAAAGAATTTCAAGTATCTGAACTGACTGAAGTGGGGACTGAAAAATGAAGAAATTAACATGGGTGAATGTGAAAGTCTCACAACTAGTTCAGAACATAATTACCCAAATTCAGGATGGGAAAGCCCACTTTGACAAATCTTATATGAAGAAATATTCACTGTCCCAGTAAAATATTTACTACCTCATTATCTTCCTACCCATTTTTCTTTTGTCTTAAAAAATATTATTTGGAGCTGGCACTGTGGTATAGCAGGTACAGCAGTCCCATATGGGTGCCAGTTCAAGTCCCGGCTGCTCCACTTCTGATCCAGCTCTTTGCTATGGCCAAGGAAAGCAGTAGAAGATAGCCCAAGTGCTTGGGCCTCTGCACCTGCATGGGAGACCTGGAGGAAGCTCCTGGCTCATGGCTTTGGGCCATTGTAGCCATCTGGGGAGTGGACCAGCAGATGGAAGACTTCTCTCTGTCTCTCTCTCTCTCTCTGCCTCTACCTCTCTGTAACTCTACCTTTCAAATAAAATAAATAAATCTTTTAAAAGATTATTTATTTGAAAGAGTTACATAGAAGGAAGGAAAGACAGAAAGAGAGAGGTCTTTTATCTCTTTGTTCAATCCTCAAGTAGCTGCAATGGAGAGAGGTAGGCCATGCTGAAGCCAGGAGCTAGGAGCTTTATCCCGTTTCCCATGTAGGTGCAGGGGCGCGAGTACTTGGGCCATCTTCTGTTTTCCCAGGCCATAGCAGGGAGCTGGATCAGAAGTGGAGCAGTGGGGACTTGAATTGGCACCCCCTTGGAATGCCCATGTTGCTGGCAGTGGTGTAACCTACTGTGCTACAATGCCAGCCCCCCATTCTATTTTTCACATGAGAAACTTTAGAGGTGACACTTTGCTCTTCCTTATCACTCACATGAAGTCTACCATCAAGCCTTAAATGTATCACCACTGTCTCCAACCTAGTGTATGCTACCATCATCCCTGTGGGAAAGTAACTAGGACCTCTTTCCCAGTTGGCCTCCCTGTATCCACTCTTGATTTCCAAATCCATTTTCCACACACTAACCAGTGTTTGCTATTAAAATCTTCTTATTGTGTCCCTACTTCAAAACATGGAATGGCCTTCCATTAAACTGAAAAATGCAGATTCCTTAAACAGGTCTCCAAGCTTTGTGGGATCTTACTATCACTTGTATCTGGGCTCATGCCATGTCCTCTCTTCTCTTCCCCACCAAATTTGAGCCAAACCCATCTTCTCTGACCTCCTTGTCATCTAATTTTTCACATGCTGTTGCTCTTTCTCTTGGCTGTCAACCCGTATCCTTAAGTCTTGACTTATATAGCTTCCTCAAAGCAGTTTCCTTTTATTTCAGAGTGGATCAGTCTCCCCTTACTGTATGCAGCCAGCTTGCAAAGCAGTCCTTCTCTTTTGTGCCCTGTTAACAGTTATAATTTCTTCAGTTGTTCATGTGGTGACAGTGCCCCCATCTAACTGTAAATTCTGTGCATGCAGAAGCTGTATGCTTTACTCCAAAGAACAGTGGAGGCATTCTTTTAAGTAGCTGTAAATGAATGAATAAAAGTTCTTGAGGATTTAATTGAATGGACTCAGAGTTGATAATGTATTCTTCTACTGAAAAACACTATCAGACTGTATCATTAGAAGTACAACAGCAAAGTCGAAAGATACTTGTCTCTCCTGGTAGGATCCCAAAATATATACTGTGCTCATTTTTTTAAACTTAATTTGTAAGAGTAATAAACTGGGCTAGGTCTAAGAGAAAATTTGTTACCATGGTAGACATTGTGGATACCATATTACTTGAAGGAATAATTTAAAAACAGCATAGAGAAGAAAATTTGGGAGAAACATGAGTTATTCTCAAATACATGGGAAAAAAAGTCATTTTAAAATGAGAAAGTAATTGTTTTTTGCTTCTTGAATCTTTGATAAGAAAATACATAAAACTTTATTTCAGTTCTTTTCTGAGAAACAGAGCTTTCTAAAATAGAACGAGCAGGGTTGGCATATTGTTCACGAATTCCTTTTTTAAAAAGTCAGTCTTCAGTTGAGTCTTTGAATTTAGAAATTTTGTTTAGAATACATTGACAGATGAGCAGGGAGTTATAGCAGAGATATATTCAGAATAAACTTATTTAGTGAACTCATATTTTATAGAAATTAAACTTGCTTTTGGGACTGTGTTGTAAGTATTAATGATGTCAGGCTTTGGGATTAGAAGACATTTGGGATAGAAGGACAAGCAGAAGATCAGGCAGCAGCACAGTACGTAGTGTAACTCCAGTGCTCTGTGTCCATAGTTTTTATGACAGTTACTAAAGGAAAATTGCTGTCCCAGGAACAGACTATTTAGAACACAAAAACTCCTCTTGATTCTGAACTCTGACCTGACAGATCTCCAGAACTGATTCAGCAAGTTGAGTGCCCAAATACTACATGTTAGCTTGCTTGATTTTTAAAAAAATAAACAAATAAATCAAGATGATACATTTACACTATTTATTTTAAATAATTTTCAAGTTCTAGAAACAGTAAATGTAAATTATAGAAAGTTATAGGTACACACAGGCTATGAGTAAGTATGCACTTAGCATTTCCACCACACAAAGATCACCATATTGACATTCTAGTGTGTGTCCTCCTGCATCTGTCTAAGTGGCTGTATACACACATTTTTATAATTTTTATTACCAAAATAAAATAATCACATGTGTATTGTTTTCAAAGTAAGATAATTGTGCTTATATGTTATTCTACAATTTGCCGCCTTCAGCAAATGAATTCTTCCTTTTAGTTTGAGAAATTACATCTGATACACAGACTCTGCTTACACAACTTCCAGTTGACTCAGAAATATCCTCTGTAACTATTTGATTCTAACCAGTTTCCAATCCAGGCCCACACACTGCATCTTACTGTTAGGTCTCTATTTTGTACGTGTGTTTTTCATCCACAACAGTCCCTTTCTAATGGCCTTGACTTCAGTGAAATAGCCCAATTGTTTTTATTTTTTTTTTTAAGATTTATTTATTTATTAAGGCAGAGTTACAGAGAGACAGCATCAGAGAGAGAGGGTCTTCCATCTGCTAGTTCATGCCCCAGATGGCTGCAATGTCCAGAGCTGCGTCTATCCAAAACCAGGAGCTTCTTCTAGGTCTCCATGCGCATGCAGGGGCCAAGGACTTGGGCCATCTTCCACTGCTTTCCCAGGCCATAGCAGAGAGCTGGATTGGAAGTGGAGCAGCCAGGACTTGAACCGGCACCCATATGGGATGCTGGCACTGCAGGTGGCAACTTTACTGGCTACAACTCAGCACCAAACCCCCATTTGTTTTCAAGATGTTCTGCCTTCTAGATTGGTCTGGTTTATTTAAGGTGCCATTAATTTGTATTTC